CGCCGGGGCGGCCTCCCACCTGCGCGCACAGCCCGCTCACACCCGCGCTCGCTCACGCACACTCCCGCTGGCGCACGCTCGCGCGCCCACGCACCCGCTCACATCCGCGCGCTCCCACGCCCACACACGTCTGCACTCACTCGTATGCACAGCCCCGCGCACACCGGCACGGGCTCACGCACACCCGCCGACACACACTCGCGCCTGCACCAGCTCGCACAACACATCCCCGCTCTCACACGCTCTGGCACACACGCACACGCCTGCTCACACCTGCACGGGCTCACGCACACCCACGGACACATGCCCTCACGCACATCTCACATCCGCACGCACTCATGCATGCACAGTCCCGCCTCGCCTACACTCACGCACACACACCCACTCACGCCTGCACTCACACAACACATCCCTCACGCCTGTACTTGCTCACACGCACCCCTGCAGACGCACACCCCGCACACACCCCGCTCACACCTGTGCTCGCTCACACACACACAACCACACGCTCACATACACCTGCGCTCGCTTGCACTCACACACCCACACATCCACACACACTCACACCCGCACTCGGTCACACACACACTGACACACTCACACCTGTGCTCACTCACACACACAGCCACACACACACACACCTGCGCCTGCTCACACTCACACCCCCACACACCCCGCTCACACCTGTGCTCATTCACACACCCGCTGACACACACACCCACACACACACCTGCGCTCGCTCACCCACACACACCCACACATTCACACCTGCACTCACACACCCACTGACCCATACACACTCTCACACACATCTGCGCACCTGTCCACACACACCTTGACACACACATACACCTGCTGCGCACACACCTGCTCACACATTCATATACCCCCGACCCACACACATATCCTCACACACACCCATTCACACATACATACAACCCTCACACACCTGCACATACACCCACTCACACACCCGCTGACATACTACACCCACTCACACACGCACATACTCCCACTCACCTGCACACACTCACGTATACACACACACCCTGACACACACTAACACACCAGCACACATACCCACTCAGACACACACCTGACGACACACACACCCCCCTCACGCATACACCCCCACACACACCTGTGCCTGATCACACACACATGCACCCACTGACACACACCCCCTCATACACGTGTACACCCATTCATACACCCCACTCACACACACTCATAAACATCCATTCACACACACATACACACACGTCAGATCACACCCCCCACTTACCTCATTCACACACATACCCACACACATCACCCGCTCACACACACATACATTGGCAAACTCACATTCACACACACACCACCTCACATACCTGCTTACACCACATACACACACACCCACTTACACATACATTGGCAAACTTACACACTCACACACGCCACCTCCTGCATACACCCACTCATACATTCACACACCTGCTCACCCACCCACACACTCACACACATCCACTTACACTCATACACCCGCTCACACACACAAGCCCCTACTAAGAGATACCCGAAGACAAATACACCCATCACACCCACTCACACCCTCACACACATACGCACACACACGTACTTGTACACACACTGGCAAATACACATATACCTCATCACACACTCACACACTCTTGCACATACACTGACATATACTCGCACACACTCACATTCACCTACAACACTCACCCACACTCACACACTCACCTGCTCACACACACAGCACACAGAGATACAGACACACACCTCACGCTTTCCACAGCGACCCCCCGTGGGCACACACACACTCTCATAGATAGACATACACAGGTAGAGATGGTCACAGACAGCCCCCCGCCACACACTTATGGGTGCACACACGCACGCAACTCGGCCGGTGGCTGCCGGCTCCGTCAGCCGTGCCGGGCGGGGCCAGGGGGAGGGCTGGACGCCCCACCTGTCTCCCCGGGCAGGAGCCCAGGCCCGGGCTCCAGGCCGTCAGCCTCGCCGTCAGACACCTCCAGCGGGGGGCTCTGTCGCTCGCCCTCCTCCTCATCCGAGCTGGGCTGGGCCGGGGACAGGGACGGGTACGGGAGGCACATCCGGGGCAGGTAGGAGACCTGGAAGGTGGGGAGGAGGCCAGGGTCAGCTCCGAGCCGGGAGGCTGGGCTGGGGTCAGCTGGGGAGGGAAGCGGGTGCTGAGGGTGGGTCCACAGGGGCAGGAGATCAGGAAAGGAAGAGAGAATTGGAGGCCAGTCGGGGCCACCGCACACAGGGGTGCGGGCTGGGGGGTGGAGGGTGCTCAACTCCA